TCTGTTCATCCTTCTCTCTCATATTGACGTTTCTCATTCATACTTCCTATCTCCCTAAACCCGCCTCCTCTACACTGGTAACCCACTGAGCTGCTGACAGCACCAGAGGAAAGATGCATACAGCTGATTTAGATAACTTAAAGAACCAAGTATGATTGATGTCTGTCTTCTGTCTGTCTTCCGTTTGTCTTTTCAGTCTGGCAGCAGTGCATGTGTGTGTATAATGCTTCATTTTGCTATGCCTACAATTCATCTTTTGTAGAGGAATTTCATAGCTGTTTGGAACCTGATGATGGTGGGGTCGCCATCAGATTGTCCTTAAATCCTACAAAGCCTTAGACAATAGTTGTCAGTGTTATTTCAGGAGTTCATGTATCTCTGAGTTTTTAGTTTTGAAATTATGTTTGATTCTTTTACCTGTCAGAAAACTAAAACGTCTGAAAAGCATACATCTTTCATTAAGATTGTTAAACATTTTCAATTTTAGGGTTGATTAAAATAATGAAATGATCAGTAAGTTGCTATCTTGAATTGTATCTGAAGATATTTATCACTGTTTGTTGAAGTCTCAAAGTATGGAATGTATTTTATTGTTTGATCAATCCACTTTATAAGAATAAAAGAAAAAAAAATATTTACGAATAAAATTGTAATCAAGCTTTAAAAAGAAATCATTCTTGTAATTAAATTTGAGTTTTAAAATTTTGGTCTATTATTAGATCACCTGAAATGAACATTTTTGACTTCATCTCAGAAACCCCAGAACTTATTTCAATGAAATTTTGCTGGAAACCTTTGCTGGCCTAAGATAATTCAGATTAGTGAATTATATGGTCCCCACCCCACAGGGGCCTGAGGGGCCAGGCCAAAGAGTTAATTTGACTCAAATTTCAAAAATCTTCTTCTCATTACTCAGATATGGTAGAATTAAATGCTCTTCATGGATGGAAGTGTCTTAAAGTGCTTTATCAAAATTGTGAATTTCATGGCCCCAGGGTCTTACATTTCCCCATGGGAAAGGAGTAAAATTAACTATACTTAATATAGGAAAAATAGAGTTTTGAGCATAATTTGTTTGATATCCATTGTAAATATTTCAAATTTGGTTAGAATGATCAGGGAAGGATGACTGCTAGGTTGCTATGCACATATTGATCCTGGCTGATCCCCATTGGCTGATGGATGGGGTCAACAGAGGTCAAAATGACTTTGATTTCAAAAATCTGCTCTTCGACACTCAGATCTGGTAGAATTAAATACTCTTCATGGATGGAAACATCTTAAGATGTTGTACCAAAATGAGCCTCACTTTTCTCTCTGGGGAGGTGGTTAACTTTACTATAATTCTATAGAAAAATTGCATTTCTGAGCATTACATTGTTTATTTCCCATTGGAAATGACTTTGTAAGAATTATTATTATAGGATGACAGTGTTGAGGTATGCCTGTATTGATACTGGCTTACTATCATCAATGCCACAATTTTCTCTTTCAAAACACTTGAAAGTTACTTTTCTTTTAACCGTTATATTCAAAATTGCTTATCTTAAGTGACCGTCAAAGCTGCTAGGCCTCTTGTTAATAATTGAAGAGTAATGGTGTTCTGTAAGGTGAAAAGATTTGTTTGCTACATCTTGTGATGTATTTATAACCGACTATTTAATACAAATGCTCTTCTCTCTATCTTTTATTGTTTTATTGGTCAGCTGGAAATTTGCATGGTTTCGTTGACCTCCAATGAAAGATTTCCAATATGTTTTATAGATTTACAACAGGTCAATTTAGGCTGAAATCAAATGAGATGGACTTTATATAAACTATTCAAGTATTACTTTGTGGACATATTTTCATTGCAAGATATCCTTTTAAGTTCTGCCATAGACATAGACGTGAAGGTAACTCTCTTTTATCCTCTCCACTGTTGGAACTGGTCAGCTGTGACATGGTCAGTGTCCTTGTGTGGTTAACTTGGTGCTCCACTGTTGGTACTGGACAGCTGTGACATGGTCAGTGTCCTTGTGTGGTTAACTAGGGGATGATATCATAGACGTTGATCTAATGTTATCTCCATTGTTGGTACTGGACAGCTGTGACATGGTCAGTGTCCTTGTGTGGTTAACTAGGTGGTCCACTGTTGGTACTGGACAGCTGTGACATGGTCAGTGTCATTGTGTGGTTAACTAGGTGGTCTACTGTTGGTACTGGACAGCTGTGACATGGTCAGTGTCCTTGTGTGGTTAACTCGGTCCACAGTTGGAACTGGACAGCTGTGACATGGTCAGTGTCCTTGTGTGGTTAACTCGGTGGTTCACTGTTGGTACTGGACAGCTGTGACATGGTCAGTGTCCTTGTGTGGTTAACTAGGTGGTCCACTGTTGGTACTGGTCAGCTGTGACATGGTCAGTGTCATTGTGTGGTTAACTAGGTGGTCAACTGTTGGTACTGGACAGCTGTGACATGGTCAGTGTCCTTGTGTGGTTAACTAGGTGGTCCACTGTTGGTACTGGACAGCTGTGACATGGTCAGTGTCCTTGTGTGGTTAACTCGGTGGTCCACTGTTGGTACTGGTCAGCTGTGACATGGTCAGTGTCCTTGTGTGGTTAACTCGGTGGTCCACTGTTGGTACTGGTCAGCTGTGACATGGTCAGTGTCCTTGTGTGGTTAACTAGGGGATGTTATCATAGATCTAATGTTCCTTATCTTCACTTTGATGTGATTCAGTCTTAACCAAAAAAATTAGTTTCCAATAGAAATGTGTTATGAAATAAACTGCCTCATGCATGGCTTATGTCCTGACTGTAATTTATATACAGAATTACTAAACAAACATATATACATGCTATCAATAGTTACATTTTAATGTATAAAATGATAAGAAAAGGTAAGTCAGATGTGTCTTATCATATGCCTCACTGTTGTTTTGGCATTTCAGCATGTCAGTATTTTTGCTCACATGCACCCATCAGCATGTGACTGTTTTTTTGTGCACGCCATCTGCATGTGACCTTGTCCTATGTGACCTTGACAGAGCATATTACTTTATGTGACTTTGACTGCAAACAACTGCTTGTGACCTTGACTGTGTGTGTACCTCTCTTAGTGATCTTGGCTGTGTGCACACCATTCTAAGTGACCTTGACTGCACACCTCTAAGTGGACTTGAATGCATGTGCACACCAATTCATGTAACCTTGGGTGTGTGTGTACATCACTCCCCATGACCTTGTGCACAGGTGCACACATTGACCGTTTTGCTTACCCATTGCTTGGTAAATTTGTCTTGATATACACCATCTCTGTGTCATGTAGATGGTGTAAACACACCATTGTCTATATTATATGACCACTGTTTATGCACACCATCTCCATGTCATGTAGATGGTGTAAACACACCATTGTCTATATTATATGACCACTGTTTATGTACACCATCTCCATGTCATATAGATGGTGTAAACACACCATTGTCTATATTATATGACCACTGTTTATGCACACCATCTCCATGTCATGTAGATGGTGTAAACACACCATTGTCTATATTATATGACCACTGTTTATGCACACCATCTGTGTCATGTAGATGGTGTAAACACACCATTGTCTATATTATATGACCGTCACTGTTTATGTACACCATCTCAGTGTCATGTAGATGGTGTAAACACACCATTGTCTATATTATATGACCGTCACTGTTTATGTACACCATCTCAATGTCATGTAGATGGTGTAAACACACCATTGTCTATATTATATGACCGTCACTGTTTATGTACACCATCTCAGTGTCATGTTATGGTGTATACACACCATTTTTAGCCCACCATCTAATAGATGGTGGGTTATTCAAATCACCCTGCGTCCGTGGTCCGTCACCGACAGGTGGCCATCTTGGATTTGGGATGTAAAAGTTTGTTACCGCTATTTCTGAGAAAGTACAGGATGGATCTTTCTCAAATTTCATATGCAGGTTCCCCTTGGTCCCTAGTTGTGCATTATACCTTTTTTGGACTGATTCGAATTCAAGATGGCAGACAGGTGGCCATCTTGGATTTTGAATGTGAAAGTTTGTTACTGCTATTTCTTGGAAAGTACTGGATGGATCTTTCTCAAATTTCATATGCAGGTTCCCTTTGGTTCCAAGTCGTGCATTATACCTTTTTGGACTGATCCGAAATCAAGATGGCTGACAGGCAGCAATCTTGGATTTTGAGAGTAAAATCTTGTTACTGCTATATCTTAGGAAGTACTGGATGGATCCTTCTGATATTTCATAGATATTGGTTTCCCTTGGTCCCTAGTTGTGCATTGTACCTTTTTTGGACTGATTTGAAATCAAGGTGGCCCACAGGCAGCCATCTTGGATGTCGACAGTAATACAGCACAAGCATATTGTCCATTAATTATCCATCTGTAACTGACTGCTATCTAATAATACTTTGGGATCTTTTTCAAATGATATTTGCTAATAGGTGCTTAATAAAAATATCTTGTGCCATCATTGAGTACATTCAATGAAGACCAGTTCATGAACATTTACAACACCTGTAACAAACAAAAAAAAATACACAAATCTTCAAGAACTGAAAACAGATCCTCAAATGGTGGGCGCCAAGATCCCTCTGGGATCTCTTGTCTGTATTATATGACCGTCACTGTTTATGCACACCATCTCCATGTGACCTTAGCTGTTGTAAGGAAGCTACTGGAATGAAAACAAGCAGAAATTAACAGTTAATATGTCATATTTCTGAAATGTGGATTGATTATTTATGATAGAAAAAATATGACTTGTAACATGTTGACATCTACTGATAAAAGTAGATATTTTTGTTGGGTTCTGTTTTTATGGAATTTTTTAAGATCACAATTTCCTGGACTAATAAACGGTAGCTCAGTAAAGTTACGTATACTCAGTTGATCAGTTGGTAGACGTATGATTTCGTGGATATATATATATAAAAAAAATTTCATTAGCCAATGTCATGTTTTCACAGATGCCTTTTCAAATCCGGAGCTCCAAGTTTCGTCATGTTTTTGGACGAGGACACCGCAAAGAACAGTGTTATGAGAATATTAAAATCACACGTAATGCCCATGACAGTAACTTCTGTGCCGTTAACCCCAAGTTTCTGGCTGTGGTGGTCGAGTCGTCTGGTGGTGGATCATTCTTATGTCTGCCTTTACATCAGGTAGGTGTGGAAATCAAAAAGTACAATGTGTAGGAATATTGAAGTAAAACCATTGGTTTCATCTTTAAGACACAGATTATGAAAAAATTCACTGAACTGTCGATTTTCTGTTTATTAATGCCCTTTCAGATATGTCTTGTCTTGAAATATTCTCCTGTAGTTTCTGACTGTTCATGTTTTACTTAATAGACTTTTGTTATGATATCATGTATTCGTACTTTCTAAGCCAAACATACTCGATAATTGCTATTTTACGTTTATGAAACATATCGGTGAAATAAAGGATTATCTGTGTATAAATCATTTTCGAACTTATGTTAAATGTTTCGCTGACAATCTAGAGAAATTTCCTTCTTTTATCAGTTATATCAAGGTAACGGCTAACACATCGTAAGAAAGAGTGTGACATATTCTGGTGATGCTAAAATGAGGATTAAATTGAATAAATCGCTAAAAATCAGTCCTTCAACTTATACATGTCACAGTCTCATACACATAATTTCTATAATTAGCATAAACAGGTTACCAAATATCAGCTACATTTGGCATAATTCAAAAAAGTAAAATAGGGTTTTATTTTACAGACTGGAAGAGTTGATGTCAATGCACCACGGATCTGCGGGCATGCTGGGAAGGTGTTGGATATAAAATGGAGTCCCTTCAGCGATTATATGATAGCTTCGTGCTCTGATGATAATACAGTAATTATAGTCAAAAGGAACATTCTACTGGTTAAGCTGTCATATGTCAGTATATGTGATAGGTGTTAGGTTGATACATGAGGACAATAGATTTTAGTTTTAATGCTCCTTGAAAATTTTTGAGGAGCATAAAGTCATCGCCATGTCTGTCTGTCCTTTCGTGTAAAATTTTCTGTCCGTCTTTCCATTTGTCCTTTACAGAGTTACTGCCCTTTGTTAAAATTTTGTGTTTGAAACCTAACGTTGCTTGCATTTAACCAGGTAAATAGAACTTGGTGTATACATTGATTATGCTAAGAGGATGTGCAGGGTACCAAGTTCAGGGCCCTCAACCATTTAATTACAGAGTTACTGCCCTTTGTTACAAAAGTTAATGGAACTTGATGTATACATTGATCATGCTAAGATGATGTGCAGGGTACCAAGTTCAGGGCCCACAAGCCCTTAATAAGAGGGTTATTGCCCTTTGTTAAAATTTTGTGTCTCTACATTGACATTGAATTGCTTGTATTTAAACAAGGATAATGAAACTTAATGAATACATTGCCCCTGGATCCATCAGTTTTAGAGTTATTGGCCTTTGTTAAAAATTTCTTGTTCAAGGCATAACTTAGATAAGCAAGGATCATGATACTTAGTGCATACATTGATCATACTAAGACAGTGTGTATAAATAGGGTCGTTGACCCCTCAATATCAGAGTTATTGCCCTTTGATAAAATATCTTTTTTTTTCTTGTATTTCAACAAGGACGATGAAACTTGGTGTATACAATGATCAAACAAGGATAATGTGAAGTATACTGATATTCAGCCCTGCATCCCCTCAAGTACAGAGTTATTGCCCTTTTCTTTGTCCAGGGCATTGCTTTGCCTGACAGTGTTTAATCTGTTACCAAGTGACAATTGAATCTGTGACAAGGTGACAATGTTTAATCTGTTACTAAGTGACAGTATTGAATCTGTGACAAGGTGACAGTGTTTAATCTGTTACTTAGTGACAGTATTGAATCTTAGACAAGGTGACAGTGTTTAATCTGTTACTTAGTGACAGTATTGAATCTGTGACAAAGTGACAGTGTTTAATCTATTACTAGATGACACTATTGAATCTTATAGAAGGTGGCAATATTGATTTGAAATTGAGTTGAAATAAAAAGTTCATTTTTATCATCAGGTAAAATTGTGGCAAGTACCACAAGATGGGCTCAAAGGAAACCTGAATGAATGGGTAGTGGATCTACATGGGCACAGTCGTCGAGTTACCTACATCGATTGGCATCCTACCGCGGAAAATATTCTTCTCAGTACAGGGATGGACTTTAAGGTGATCTATGTTACTGAGTATTGTCATTGTAGCTTATCTTTACTTAACTTTGTCACATTCTTATTTCTACTCATCAACGGAATTAAATACAGCTGTGGAATTCACAAAGTGAATACTGGAATGCCACTGTAATGATCAAATGAAATTGCTGAAACATGAATTTTATGGCAAGTAGATGTAATTCAATAGTGTTTGTTCGATGAATATCATCAGATATGTAGGGAATTAACACCATCTTGTTACTGGGACTGGCCGCCTGGGTGTTACCTCGTCCCTGATGACATTGTTCATGTGATAATATGAAGACAGTAAAGAGCCAAATCCTTATATGATATAAACAGTTGTGAGGTATAAAAACACTGGTAGGACTTATCTGCTGGCCAAGGTTTCTCATGTCACTTATTGGAATTAATTAGACACGCTTTATCCAGGTACACATAGAGGCAATGGTCAGGTTGTTGACTGCTCTACAAATAAACGATAGTGATACTTAATTATAACAGTTTCATTAAAGAGATATCCCACTCAAGTTTGGATTTCATGGGATACTTTTGAAGAATACTGTATGAAATCATCTACTTATGTTCTTATGTGAATCATACACCTTGATTAACATTTTAAACAAACATGATATTTAATTTGGGGAAATAGTTTGATCGAGATAACAAAAATTTGTTCAGTCTTGATTGCATCATAACAGGTTTGCATTATTGTAAGCCGACAGAATGAAATATTTGTGTCAATTATAAAAATAACAGAAAATAAGCCTAATAAAGTAACAAAATTGTGCAGAAATTTTAGTGAGCAACACAGTACTCTGCATATAACCTATGATCCAGTGACCTTGCAGTTCTGGATTTCCCAATGTGCTATATTTAGGCCGTTTGGCTGAGAGTATTCCAAACTGACCACAGTAGAGATAATTTGATGCTAATGACAGCTTAAAGAATCATTAGAATGAGTACTGAAAAGGTACAGAACGCCCAGAAATTTTGCAGCGTGGACAGAATATCCCTTAAACAACATGACAGGTGCACGTGGACAGAATATCCCTTAAACAACACGAAAGGTGCACGTGGACAGAATATCCCTTAAACAACACGAAAGGTGCACGTGGACAGAATATCCCTTAAACAACACGAAAGGTGCACGTGGACAGAATATCCCTTAAACAACACGACAGGTACACGTGGACAGAATATCCCTTTAACAACACGACAGGTGCACTTGTTAAAAGTAATGATCTGTGTTAAAACAGTACAAATAACACATAATATACAAGGAACAATACCAGGATCTTCCAGGTATCAAGTGAGTCTGTACAGAGAGGGATAACTACGGGGACCTACTCTGGGGGGTTGGGGAAATACTGCTACACAGTAGTACAAATATATACACGGCAACCATATACAAAACCTCAGACTTGATAATGAATGGGTATATCAAGTGTTGTTTATGTATCAGACTATAAAATATAAAATGTCAGTAGATGGCAGTTGTCAACATTAACCTTCAGAACTTTACAGTTTGTATATAGAGGATCTTACATGAGTGCCAATGTATTATCGGCTTGTGGCGTATCAAATTATTGAACGAGTTTAATAAATTCCATAATACATTGACACGAGTGTAAGATTCTGTTTATCACATAACCAATTAAAATAGAAAAATCGCCAGAAAACTACGATATACTTCCACTATGCAATCAGCTGTTTCTATATAGGTCAAAGCCAACGCACAGTAATCATAGTTTTATCCATCTGTGTTGCAAATAGTACCTTTTTTCAATGATTGAATAAGAGATTGTTATGTTCCAAAATAATATTAACAAAGTAAAGCATTTAAATTCTGTTTAATGCCAAAATAACTTTTAATAATCACACAAAAAAATCTTCTGGAAATTCACTTGATATTGGTAACATGACGTCACTCGCCTCGTCATCACGGGTCATCAGGTTCTGCCTAACTGCTCCAGTTACTGCGAGTCACTGTCACTTTCAATGATAGCTTTTCATTTATTTCTGGTAACTCAAAAAAATTATACAAAAGTTTCATGTCATACAAAGTTTTGCTCAACGTATTCTTGTTTGATTGATCCTGTACAAACTTCCTACCTCATCTTCTCTGACTGAAACGAAACGACTTGGTTCAGGGGCAACAGGACCGCCATCCGGAGCGGTCGTCTGCTGTTGGGAGGGATCTACCACCTTTTCAATACGATCGCGCTCAATCTCAATTTGAAAGTCAGTCCCACACAATTCAACATTATAAAATACAGCAAACCCCCGTGGGATTATCTCCTTCACCACACCAGTCCCCTTCTTATCAATAAAAACTGTGTCGCCAATGTTGATCTGGTCCGCCATATTTTACTACAGTTTGTTGTCGTAGTAAATAAAAGTAGTACGCGCGCGGGCGTATGAATACGTTCACACGGTTTTGACCAATCAGCAGACCCCAAACCTTTATTACACATGTGTATTACCATTATTATGACATGGGCGTATGACATGGGAAAACGGGTCGGTTATGTGATAAATTTATTTATGCATCATCACATAAGATCAGTTTTCTTGGCCAAATAAATTCCAGTGTATCACCCTATAGTTATTATCCTCACTAAAAACAGAAATCTATAGTTCTGTTTGAGTAAATTTACATGTATAGTTCGCACTATTGTGATTAAAACTGCCGTGTTGAAAAGGGGTGCCATTCTTGGTGTTATCAGTCTCTATAGTTCTCTGGTCTGCCATATTGGATTACCTCCCTTCACATAAGTATATTTAGAGTGAAATGTTTCAATATAATTGAGTTTCAACATTATCTAAAAACATACACACACACACACACACACACACACACACACGCACACGCACACGCACACGCACACGCACACACACACACACACATGTTTAGCTTTGTGATTATTTACCGAAATCATCAGATGATATTTTTCACTCTGTATGTGTTATGAGGTAACATTGATTATTCCATTACTATGTGACATTATTGAATCTATGACAGTTACTTTACACTAAACACAAACACAGTCACTGATAACTTATATTACTTTGTACTAAATACAAACACAGTCACTGATAACTTATATTACTTTGTACTAAACACAAACACAGTCACTGATAACTTATATTACTTTACACTAAACACAAACACAGTCACTGATCACTTAACAAAATCCTTTGAATTCATCATTTTCATCGTCACTATTAGATATGTCATACAGCATCACGTGGAGGGCTCTGTGACACTGGAACGAGTCTAGAACTAGTAGGTTCTTATAATAATAAACGTTATTTATTTTACAACAATTGCGAAGCAAGTTTTTCCAACTTATATAAATCACTCTTGTTGGCTCGGATGGAAGCGTGCAAGGGGTGTTATTGTGGGAGGAAACCGGAGTACCCAGGGAAAACACACATGGTCGAGCAGGTGACCCCATACCTTTTCACATCCATTCCGGGAATAGATCCCTGGACGGCTAGGTGAAAGGCGAGTGTGTTACCACTGTGCCACTCTGCCACCCGACCACCCAGTAGGTTCTTCTGGCCAGTGTTGACATGTGTTGGGTGTCTCCCCTCCTATGATCCATTCTTTTATCCTCGTGCTCTTTGTGGTTTCCTTATTATTGATGGACCAAAACATCAACTGATGCATGCGGTAACTGGTAATCAAAATACATTTTGTATATTAATTAATATTTTTCTTTTAATCTGACCACAAAAACTTTCCTGCGCACTATTCCCACAAATTTTTGTTAGTACAGATCAATACCCACTTATTCTCTAGATTTTTGACATACTATTTCATGCTTTCCTCTAAATTTCTGCTCTGAAGAGATATGAAATTGCCCTTAAACCAGTCCAGACCAAGCCTTTCCCCCAACATGTTAAGCTTGTTGTGTCAATCTGTATCATCAATTCATCTTGTCTTTCAGTGTATATTATGGAACACCGAGCAAGCAGAACCTGTCAGCATATTAGATTGTCACCAGGACACTGTGTTCTCCATGGCCTGGAACCGCGATGGCAGTCTGATTGCCACCACCTGTAAAGATCGTAACCTACGTATCATTGATCCCAGACTCGGGTCTGTAGCTATGGTGAGTTTTATCACAAATGGATTCTACATTTCAGTGTATAATCATATCCTTATCAAGACTGTCTGACCTCATGGTTTACTATGTAAGTGTAATATAGACTTAGTTATTACACACAGAGTTTAATACAGACTCAGTAATTCCACAGAGTTTAATACAGACTCAGTAAATCCACACAGAGTTAAATACAGACTCAGTAATTACACAGAGTTTAATACAGACTCAGTAATTACACAGAGTTTAATACAGGCTCAGTAATTCCACAGAGTTTAATACAGACTCAGTAATTCCACAGAGTTTAATACACAGAGTTTAATACAGACTCAGTAATTACACAGAGTTTAATACAGACTCAGTAATTAATACAGACTCAGTAATTACACAGAGTTTAATACAGACTCAGTAATTACACAGAGTTTAATACAGACAGACTCAGTAATTTACAGACTCACACAGAGTTTAATACAGGCTCAGTAATTCCACAGAGTTTAATACAGACTCAGTAATTCTACACAGAGTTTAATACAGACTCAGTAATTACACACAGAGTTTAATACAGACTCAGTAATTACACAGAGTTTAATACAGACTCAGTAATTACACAGAGTTTAATACAGACTCAGTAATTACACACAGAGTTTAATACAGACTCAGTAATTACACACAGATTTTAATACAGACTCAGTAATTCCACAGAGTTTAATACAGACTCAGTAATTCTACACAGAGTTTAATACAGACTCAGTAATTCTACACAGATTTTAATACAGACTCAGTAATTCCACAGAGTTTAATACAGACTCAGTAATTCTACACAGAGTTTAATACAGACTCAGTAATTCTACACAGAGTTTAATACAGACTCAGTAATTCTACACAGAGTTTAATACAGACTCAGTAATTACACAGAGTTTAATACAGACTCAGTAATTACACAGAGTTTAATACAGGCTCAGTAATTCCACAGAGTTTAATACAGACTCACTAATTACACACAGACTCAGTAATTCTACACAGATTTTAATACAGACTCAGTAATTACACAGAGTTTAATACAGACTCAGTAATTACACACAGATTTTAATACAGACTCAGTAATTACACACAGAGTTTAATACAGACTCAGTAATTCTACACAGAGTTTAATACAGACTCAGTAATTCTACACAGATTTTAATACAGACTCAGTAATTCTACACACAGAGTTTAATACAGGCTCAGTAATTCCACAGAGTTTAATACAGACTCAGTAATTACACAGAGTTTAATACAGACTCAGTAATTACACAGAGTTTAATACAGACTCAGTAATTCCACAGAGTTTAATACAGACTCAGTAATTACACACAGAGTTTAATACAGACTCAGTAATTACACAGAGTTTAATACAGGCTCAGTAATTCCACAGAGTTTAATACAGACTCAGTAATTCTACACAGAGTTTAATACAGACTCAGTAATTACACACAGAGTTTAATACAGACTCAGTAATTCCACACAGAGTTTAATACAGACTCAGTAATTCCACAGAGTTTAATACAGACTCAGTAATTCTACACAGAGTTTAATACAGACTCAGTAATTCTACACAGAGTTTAATACAGACTCAGTAATTACACAGAGTTTAATACAGACTCAGTAATTACACACAGAGTTTAATACAGACTCAGTAATTCTACACAGATTTTAATACAGACTCAGTAATTACACAGAGTTTAATACAGACTCAGTAATTCTACACAGAGTTTAATACAGACTCAGTAATTCTACACAGAGTTTAATACAGACTCAGTTTAATACAGACTCAGTAATTCTACACAGAGTTTAATACAGACTCAGTAATTCCACAGAGTTTAATACAGGCTCAGTAATTCCACAGAGTTTAATACAGACTCAGTAATTCTACACAGAGTTTAATACAGACTCAGTAATTACACAGAGTTTAATACAGACTCAGTAATTACACACAGAGTTTAATACAGACTCAGTAATTACACAGAGTTTAATACAGGCTCAGTAATTACACAGAGTTTAATACAGACTCAGTAATTACACACAGAGTTTAATACAGACTCAGTAATTCTACACAGATTTTAATACAGACTCAGTAATTCCACAGAGTTTAATACAGGCTCAGTAATTCCACAGAGTTTAATACAGACTCAGTAATTCTACACAGAGTTTAATACAGACTCAGTAATTCTACACAGAGTTTAATACAGACTCAGTAATTCCACACAGAGTTAAATACAGGCTCAGTAATTCTACACAGATTTTAATACAGACTCAGTAATTCAGACTCAGTAATTACACACAGAGTTTAATACAGACTCAGTAATTCACACAGAGTTTAATACAGACTCAGTAATTCACACAGAGTTTAATACAGACTCAGTAATTACACAGATTTTAATACAGACTTAATTCCAATACACAGTAATTTAATACAGACTCAGTAATTCCACAGAGTTTAATACAGACTCAGTAATTCCACACAGATTTTAATACAGACTCAGTAATTCCACAGAGTTTAATACAGACTCAGTAATTACACACAGAGTTTAATACAGACTCAGTAATTACACAGAGTTTAATACAGACTCAGTAATTACACAGAGTTTAATACAGACTCAGTACACAGATTTTAATACAGACTCACAGAGCTCAGTAATTCCACACACAGAGTTTAATACAGACTCAGTAATTCACACAGAGTTTAATACAGACTCAGTAATTCCACAGAGTTTAATACAGACTCAGTAATTACACACAGTTTAATACAGACTCAGTAATTCTACACAGAGTTTAATACAGACTCAGTAATTCTACACAGAGTTTAATACAGACTCAGTAATTCCACAGAGTTTAATACAGGCTCAGTAATTCTACACAGAGTTTAATACAGACTCAGTAATTCTACACAGATTTTAATACAGACTCAGTAATTACACAGAGTTTAATACAGACTCAGTAATTCTACACAGAGTTCAATACAGACTCAGTAATTCTACACAGAGTTTAATACAGACTCAGTAATTCTACACAGAGTTTAATACAGACTCAGTAATTCTACACAGAGTTTAATACAGACTCAGTAATTCTACACAGAGTTTAATACAGACTCAGTAATTCCACAGAGTTTAATACAGACTCAGTAATTCTACACAGAGTTTAATACAGACTCAGTAATTACACAGAGTTTAATACAGACTCAGTAATTACACACAGAGTTTAATACAGACTCAGTAATTCACACAGAGTTTTAATACAGACTCAGTAATTCCACACAGAGTTTATATACAGACTCAGTAATTACACAGAGTTTAATACAGACTCAGTAATTCTACACAGAGTTTAATACAGACTCAGTAATTACACAGAGTTTAATACAGACTCAGTAATTACACACAGAGTTTAATACAGACTCAGTAATTCTACACAGATTTTAATACAGACTCAGTAATTCTACACAGATTTTAATACAGACTCAGTAATAATTTAATACAGACTCAGTAATTCTACACAGAGTTTAATACAGACTCAGTAATTCTACACAGAGTTTAATACAGACTCAGTAATTCTACACAGAGTTTAATACAGACTCAGTAATTCTACACAGAGTTTAATACAGACTCAGTAATTCTACACAGAGTTAAATACAGGCTCAGTAATTCTACACAGATTAATACAGACTTAGTAAATCCACACAGAGTTAAATACAGGCTCAGTAATTCTACACAGATTAATACAGACTCAGTAATTCCACAGAGTTTAATACAGACTCAGTAATTCTACACAGATTTTAATACAGACTCAGTAATTCCACAGAGTTTAATACAGACTCAGTAATTCTACACAGAGTTTAATACAGACTCAGTAATTACACAGAGTTTAATACAGACTCAGTAATTACACACAGAGTTTAATACAGACTCAGTAATTACACACAGAGTTTAATACAGACTCAGTAATTACACAGAGTTTAATACAGACTCAGTAATTACACACAGAGTTTAATACAGACTCAGTAATTACACAGAGTTTAATACAGACTCAGTAATTCTACACAGAGTTTAATACAGACTCAGTAATTACACAGAGTTTAATACAGACTCAGTAATTACACACAGAGTTTAATACAGACTCAGTAATTACACAGAGTTTAATACAGACTCAGTAATTACACACAGAGTTTAATACAGACTCAGTAATTACACACAGATTTTAATACAGACTCAGTAATTACACACAGATTTTAATACAGACTCAGTAATTCCACACAGATTTTAATACAGACTCAGTAATTACACACAGATTTTAATACAGACTCAGTAATTACACACAGAGTTTAATACAGACTCAGTAATTACACACAGATTTTAATACAGACTCAGTAATTACACACAGATTTTAATACAGACTCAGTAATTACACACAGAGTTTAATACAGACTCAGTAATTCCACACAGATTTTAATAGACTCAGTAATTCCACACAGAGTTTAATACAGACTCAGTAATTACACCCAGAGTTAAATACAGACTCAGTAATTCCACACAGAATTAATACAGATGCAGTGATTCCACACAGAATTTATGACAGACTCCGTAATTCCACACAGAATTAAATACAGACTCAGTAATTCAACACAGAAAACTGCAATATACAATGGCAGGGTTTTCCATAAGAGCTAGTCGCCGGCCAATTTGACCAGCTACTTTGATCATTTGGCCGCCTACACCAATCCAGTTCCGTAATAATGTTCCGTACACGACTACACGTACACAGCAGGCCAGCCTCCTACTTTCACTACACAGCCTACTACTAACAAAATTATGGAAAACCCTGAATGGTATAAAGAGTCCTATGCTTGAGCATTACAATGGCAGGTGGCACATTATTTAAAGTCATGAATGTTTAAGTCACTATTGGGTTTATAATTAGAGAAAGTGAGACCAAAATGGTGCGGAGTAATATAAACAACAGGGTTAGTCAAGAATTGAAAGAAAGGTGAAAATCTAGGGAGGTCACTTATCACTGTTCTATCACTGGGCTAATCAGTTAGTGTTCTATCACTGGGCTAATCAGTTAGTGTTCTATCACTGGGCTAACTAGTTAGTGTTCTATCGCTGGGCTAATCAGTAAGTGTTCTATCACTGGGCTAATCAGTTAGTGTTCTATCACTGGGCTAATCAGTTAGTGTTCTATCACTGGGCTAATCAGTTAGTGATCTATCACTGGGCTAATCAGTGTTCTATCACTGGGCTAATCAGTTAGTGTTTTATCACTGGTCTAATCAGTTAGTGTTCTATCACTGGGCTAATCAGTTAGTGATCTATCACTGGGCTAATCAGTTAGTGTTCTATCACTGGGCTAATCAGTGTTCTATCACTGGGCTAATCAGTTAGTGTTTTATCACTGGTCTAATCAGTAAGTGTTCTATCACTGGGCTAACCAGTTAGTGTTCTATCACTGGGCTAATCAGTTAGTGTTCTATCACTGGGCTAATCAGTTAGTGATCTATCACTGGGCTAATCAGTTAGTGTTCTATCACTGGGCTAATCAGTGTTCTATCACTGGGCTAATCAGTTAGTGTTTTATCACTGGTCTAATCAGTAAGTGTTCTATCACTGGGCTAACCAGTTAGTGTTCTATCACTGGGCTAATCAGTTAGTGTTCTATCACTGGGCTAATCAGTTAGTGTTCTATCACTGGTCTAATCAGTTAGTGTTTTATCACTGGGCTAATCAGTAAGTGTTCTATCACTGGGCTAATCAGTTAGTGTTCTATCACTGGTCTAATCAGTTAGTGTTCTATCACTGGGCTAATCAGTAAGTGTTCTATCACTGGGCTAATCAGTTAGTGTTTTATCACTGGGCTAATCAGTTAGTGTTTTATCACTGGTCTAATCAGTTAGTGTTCTATCACTGGGCTAATTAATGTTCTATCACTGGGCTAACTAGTTAGTGTTCTATCACTGGGCTAATCAGTAAGTGTTCTATCACTGGGCTAATCAGTTAGTGTTTTATCACTGGGCTAATCAGTTAGTGTTCTATCACTGGGCTAATCAGTAAGTGTTCTATCACTGGGCTAATCAGTTAGTGTTTTATCACTGGGCTAATCAGTTAGTGTTCTATCACTGGGCTAATCAGTTAGTGTTCTATCACTGGGCTAATCAGTTAGTGATCTATCACTGGGCTAATCAGTTAGTGTTTTATCACTGGGCTAATCAGTTAGTGTTCTATCACTGGGCTAATCAGTTAGTGTTTTATCACTGGTCTAATCAGTTAGTGTTCTATCACTGGGCTAATCAGTAAGTGTTCTATCATTGGGCTAACCAGTTAGTGTTCTATCACTGGGCTAACTAGTTAGTGTTCTATCACTGGGCTAATCAGTAAGTGTTCTATCACTGGGCTAATCAGTTAGTGTTCTATCACTGGGCTAATCAGTTAGTGTTTTGTTACTATGGGCAATAGAGCTATTGTTCTGTCACTGAACAAAGCCAGTAGTGTTTCATTTATTTTATTCTTAGTTTTTTTGTTCAACCTTACAAATGGCAAGAGGCACTATTTATATAACTATATGAAGGTTATACAAGACCTGATAACAATATGTAATAGAAATATATTAATATCATTCATTTTTGTAGATATAATATATGTTTTGTGTTTACCAGGATACACAAGGACACGTAGGAAACAAGGCATCTAAAGTGGTCTTTGTCAGCGACCAAAACAAACTCGTCACTACTGGCTTTAACAGGATGTCTGCACGCCAGCTGGCATTGTGGGATATTGTAAGTGTTGCTGGAGCATTGCTGGGTACAAATAGTATCACTGAAGCATCATGGGATATTAGAAATATCACTGAAGCATTGTAGGATATCTGACTCAGTAGCCATACTCTGTTACCAGGTATCTTCATTATTGTGAAAAATAACACACAAATTGAAGAGTGTGCAACAAATCTTTCCCTAACCTGTCCAAATCTAGTCCATAGACAACTGTCCAATCTTCCTAACGTCTTTTTCTTATTCTCTTCATTGTTTTTTATGTTTCAGAAAAATTTTCGGAAGCCACTGAACCTAATTGAGACAGACAGTTCAAGTGGTATTGTTCTGCCTTTCTATGACTATGATTCCAGAGTTGTGTATGTCGCTGGAAAGGTAAGTTATTTTCAGCCAATATAACCAGTAACCAGTAAAAGGGACTACAATGTATAGGTTTACACTCCATCAGGCTGTCACCAGTAGTTTACACTCCATCAGGCTGTCACCAGTAGTTTACACTCCATCAGGCTGTCACCAGTAGCTTACACTCCATCAGGCTGTCACCAGTAGTTTACACTCCATCAGGCTGTCACCAGTGGCTTACACTCCATCAGGCTGTCACCAGTAGTTTACACTCCATCAGGCTGTCACTAGTAGTTTACACTCCATCAGGCTGTCACCAGTAGTTTACACTCCATCAGTCTGTCACCGGTAGTTTACACTCCATCAGTCTGTCACCGGTAGTTTACACTCCAACAGTCTGTCACCAGTAGTTTACACTCCATCAGGCTGTCACTAGTAGTTTACACTCCATCAGTCTGTCACTAGTAGTTTACACTCCATCAGTCTGTCACCAGTAGTTTACACTCCATCAGGCTGTCACCAGTAGTTTACACTCCATCAGTATGTCACTAGTAGTTTACACTCCATCAGTCTGTCACCAGTAGTTTACACTCCATCAGTCTGTCACCAGTGGTTTACACTCCATCAGGCTGTCACCAGTAGCTTACACTCCATCAGGCTGTCACCAGTAGTTTACACTCCATCAGGCTGTCACTAGTAGTTTACACTCCATCAGTCTGTCACCAGTAGTTTACACTCCATCAGTCTGTCACCAGTAGTTTACACTCCATCAGTCTCTCACCATTAGTTTACACTCCATCAGTCCGTCACTAGTAGTTTACACTCCATCAGTCTGTCACTAGTGGTTTACACTCCATCAGTCTGTCACCAGTGGTTTACACTCCATCAGTCTGTCACTAGTAGTTTACACTCCATCAGTCTGTCACCAGTAGTTTACACTCCATCAGTCTGTCACCAGTAGTTTACACTCCATCAGTCTGTCACCGGTAGTTTACACTCCATCAGTCTGTCAACAGTAGTTTACACTCCATCAGTGTGTCACCAGTAGTTTACACTCCATCAGTCTGTCACCAGTAGTTTACACTCCATCAGTCTGTCACCAGTAGTTTACACTCCATCAGTCTGTCACTAGTAGTTTACACTCCATCAGTCTGTCACCAGTAGTTTACACTCCATCAGTCTGTCACTAGTAGTTTACACTCCATCAGTCTGTCACTAGTAGTTTACACTCCATCAGTCTGTCACCAGTAGTTTACACTCCATCAGTCTGTCACCAGTAGTTTACACTCCATCAGTCTGTCACCAGTAGTTTACACTCCATCAGTCTGTCACCAGTAGTTTACACTCCATCAGTCTGTCACCAGTAGTTTACACTCCATCAGTCTGTCACTAGTAGTTTACACTCCATCAGTCTGTCACTAGTAGTTTACACTCCATCAGTCTGTCACCAGTAGTTTACACTCCATCAGTCTGTCACCAGTAGTTTACTCCATCAGTCTGTCACTAGTAGTTTACACTCCATCAGTCTGTCACTAGTAGTTACACTCCATCAGTCTGTCACTCCAGTAGTTTACACTCCATCAGTCTGTCACCAGTAGTTTACACTCCATCAGTCTGTCACCAGTAGTTTACACTCCATCAGTCTGTCACCAGTAGTTTACACTCCATCAGTCTGTCTCTAGTAGTTTACACTCCCTCACACTAGTAGTTTACACTCCATCAGTCTGTCACCAGTAGTTTACACTCCATCAGTCTGTCACCAGTAGTTTACACTCCATCAGTCTGTCACCAGTAGTTTACACTCCATCAGTCTGTCACCAGTAGTTTACACTCCATCAGTCTGTCACCAGTAGTTTACACTCCATCAGTCTGTCACCAGTAGTTTACACTCCATCAGTCTGTCACCAGTAGTTTACACTCCATCAGTATGTCACCAGTAGCTTACACTCCATCAGTGTGTCACCAGTAGTTTACACTCCATCAGTGTGTCACCAGTAGTTTACACTCCATCAGTCTCTCACCAGTAGTTTACACTCCATCAGTCCGTCACTAGTAGTTTACACTCCATCAGTCTGTCAACAGTAGTTTACACTCCATCAGTCTGTCTGTCACTCCATCAGTAGTCACCAGTTTTACACTCCATCAGTCTGTCACCAGTAGTTTACACTGTCTGTCACCAGTAGTTTACACTCCATCAGTCTGTCACTGTCACTCCAGTAGTTTTACACTCCATCAGTCTGTCACCAGTAGTTTACACTCCATCAGTCTGTCACCAGTAGTTTACACTCCATCAGTCTGTCACCAGTAGTTTACACTCCATCAGTCTGTCACCAGTAGTTTACACTCCATCAGTCTGTCACCAGTAGTTTACACTCCATCAGTCTGTCACCAGTAGTTTACACTCCATCAGTCTGTCACCAGTAGTTTACACTCCATCAGTATGTCAGCAGTAGTTTTACCAGAGGGGAATATCATATTGAGATTTACATTCTTTTTGTTCTAACAATACATTATTATTATTTTTTGATGTTTGAAATGCTGAGAATATGAGTTTCATTAACCAACAAAGTTAAGATCTGGCACGAAATTGCACAACAATAAACAAGAATTTATTTTATTGATCTGAATAAAAATTTTACCAGATAAATAATTTGCCGTTAATTCTGATATTGTAGGGGGATGGAAACATTCGTTATTTTGAGATCACAGATGACTCCACAGCGATTCACTTTCTGAACCAGTTTCAGTCCCCATTTCCACAGAGAGGTTTTGGTAAGTACTTGATGTTATTTTGCTCTGTCACACGAAGGAAACAGCTGTATGATGCACTTTTATTACATTGTTTGACTAAGCTGTGTCTCACCTTTAATTGATATTTAATTGTCTGTCCTCTATTTTCTACATCAGTATACTTTACGAATGTTCAGGCCATCTTGAATTTGATTATCTTTGTTTGTTATTTATCAGAAAGTGCTGGAAGGACTTTTGTCAAGTTTCTAGGTTCTAATGGTGGTTAGGTAGCTATCTAGGGACTTTTGTCAAGTTTCTAGGTTCTACTGTTTCCTAAAGTTGTCCATGAATCATTTTGACATTAAGGGTGGTTAGGTAGCTATCTAGGTACTTTTGTCAAGTTTCTAGGTTCTACTGTTTCCTAAAGTTGTCCATGAATCATTTTGACATTAAGGGTGGTTAGGTAGCTATCTGTTAAGTTACAGTAAGTGATCAGTTGAAAGATGCTTTTCATGGAAACTTTACCAAATTTGATCCATATTTTCTTTTAGTCTGTAGACATACCTATTCCATTTAAAAACTGATTTTATTTAGAAAGTCAAGATTTTTTTCTCCAGAACTGTAGCGTGATTTTAGTGCATTATTATATATAGTACCAACAAGAGCTTGATTGACAGGAATCAGTTTCTCTTGTTAAATGTTTGTCACACACTTGATGTAATGGCCTCACTATACGAAAGATACATACTGATTGATTTGCAGAGATGACACCAAACTTACAGATCATTGTTGTCTTTGGGGTCATCACTCTCTGAACTCACTCTGAATGTCATTCTGTTTTCTATTATTGTAGGTGTGATGCCAAAGCGAGGCTGTGATACGAGTAAATGTGAAGTGATGAGGTTTTACAAACTTTTAGCTGCCAAAGACACCATAGAACCCATATCAATGATCGTCCCTCGGAAGGTCAGTATTAGTCCGCTGGCTAAGTCCCTGGGAAGGTCAGTATTGATCCACTGGCTAAGTCCCTGGGAAGGTCGGAATCAGTCAGCTGGCTAAGTCCCTCGGAAGGTCAGTATCGGTCCGATGGCTAAGTCCCCGCTGGCTACGTCCCTCGGAAGGTCAGTATCAGTCTGCTGGCTAAGTCCCCGCTGGCTAAGTCCCTCGGAAGGTCAGTATCGGTCAAATGGCTAAGTCCCTCGGAACGTAAGAATCAGTCTGCTGGCTAAATCCCTGGGAAGGTCATAATCAGTCCACTGGCTAAGTCCCTCGGAGGGTCTATATCAGTCCGCTGGCTAAGTCCCTCGGAAGGTCTGTATCAGTCCGCTGGCTAAGTCCCTCGGAAGGTCAGTTTCGGTCGGATGGTTAAGTCCCCCGGAAGGTCAGATTCGGTCGGATGGTTAAGTCCCCCGGAAGGTCAGTATCGGTCCGATGGCTAAGTCCCCCGGAAGGTCAGTTTCGGTCCGATGGTTAAGTCCCCCGGAAGGTCAGTTTCGGTCGGATGGTTAAGTCCCCCGGAAGGTCAGTATCGGTCCGATGGCTAAGTCCCCCGGAAGGTCAGTTTCGGTCCGATGGCTAAGTCCCCCGGAAGATCAGTTTCGGTCCGATGGCTAAGTCCCTCGGAAGGTCTGTATCAGTCCGCTGGCTAAGTCCCCCGGAAGGTCAGTTTCGGTCCGATGGCTAAGTCCCTCGGAAGGTCTGTATCAGTCCGCTGGCTAAGTCCCGCGGAAGGTCAGTATCGGTCCGCTGGCTAAGTCCCTCAGAAGGTCAGTATCGGTCCGATGGCTAAGTCCCTCGGAAGGTCTGTATCAGTCCGCTGGCTAAGTCCCCCGGAAGGTCAGTTTCGGTCCGATGGCTAAGTCCCTCGGAAGGTCTGTATCAGTCCGCTGGCTAAGTCCCTCGGAAAGTCAGTAGCGGTCCGCTGGCTAAGTCCCTCGGAAGGTCAGTATCGGTCAGCTGGCTAAGTCCCTCGGAAGGTCAGTATCGGTCTGCTGGCTAAGTCCCCCGGAAGGTCAGTTTTGGTCTGATGGCTAAGTCCCTCGGAAGGTCAGTATCGGTCCACTGGCTAAGTCCCCCGGAAGGTCAGTTTCGGTCCGATGGCTAAGTCCCCCGGAAGGTCAGTATCGGTCCGCTGGCTAAGTCCCTCGGAAGGTCAGTATCGGTCCGCTGGCTAAGTCCCCTGGAAGGTCAGTTTTGATCCGATGGCTAAGTCCCTCGGAAGGTCAGTATCGGTCCGCTGGCTAAGTCCCCCGGAAGGTCAGTTTCGGTCCGATGGCTAAGTCCCCCGGAAGGTCAGTATCGGTCCGCTGGCTAAGTCCCTCGGAAGGTCAGAATCAGTCCGCTGGCTAAGTCCCTCGGAAGGTCTGTATCGGTCCGCTGGCTAAGTCCCCCAGAAGGTCAGTTTCGGTCCGATGGCTAAGTCACAACAAAACATTTCAAGCAGTAAAAGTTTGGTGTCAGCAACTTTTGAAGTTTTTCAACAACTTTGATTTGATAGAATGAATAATGATATGATTATCAACTTAACACAATACGCATATTTCAAAAATACTTTGAAATGTATTACAACAGAAGCACAGAATTATGATGAACAGTTTTGATTTATCAAACAATGTCACATCAATGTTGTAGACTGACAAAACTGTTTTCATTTCAGTCGGATAAATTCCATGATGACATTTTCCCTCCGACAGCGAGTATGATTCCATCATTGTCGGCTGATGAGTGGATTTCTGGACAGAATCGAGAGCCAATACTAATATCTCTCCTGGTAATATTTTGTTGGGGAATCTAACACATTGTAGGGGTCCATAAGGGATTATTGTAGGGTCCTGAACGGGTTGTGTATGAGTTTGTTACGGTTATTGTAAGTACCAGGGTTTTTGTAGAAGTCCCCAAATGTTAATGTAGGGTTTGATTTACTATACCCAACGGTTCAAGGTAAGTAGCTCAAAATATTTAGATGTAACTCTTCTGTATTGTTTCATTCTAATAGAGCTGTTGTTTCATGTTTGGGATTAAAAGTCATGCATGTCTTAACCTTCCTATCCATTAAACAGACGATGAATTATATTTCCAGGATTTTTATTTGATTTGAAAATATAAACATAAAAAATATCAGATACATTCATTAGTAATACATCAGACTCAACAGATACATTAGTCAGTAATTATAAATACATCAGACTCAACAGAGACATTAGTCAGTAATTATAAATACATCAGACTCAGTAGAGACATTAGTCAGTAATTATAAATACATCAGACTCAACAGATACGTTAGTCAGTAATTATAAATACATCAGACTCAACAGATACATTAGTCAGTAATTATAAATACATCAGACTCAACAGATACATTAGTCAGTAATTATAAATACATCACACTCAACAGATACATTAGTCAGTAATTATAAATACATCAGACTCGACAGAGACATTAGTCAGTAATTATAAATACATCAGACTCGACAGAGACATTAGTCAGTAATTATAAATACATCAGACTCAACAGAGGCATTAGTCAGTAATTATAAATACATCAGACTCGACAGAGACATTAGTCAGTAATTATAAATACATCAGACTCGACAGAGACATTAGTCAGTAATTATAAATACATCAGACTCAACAGAGGCATTAGTCAGTAATTATAAATACATCAGACTCAACAGAGACATTAGTCAGTAATTATAAATACATCAGACTCAGTAGAGACATTAGTCAGTAATTATAAATACATCAGACTCAACAGAGACATTAGTCAGTAATTATAAATACATCAGACTCAGTAGAGACATTAGTCATTAATTATAAATACATCAGACTCAACAGATACATTAGTCAGTAATTATAAATACATCAGACTCAACAGAGACTTTAGTCAGTAATTATAAATACATCAGACTCAACAGAGACATTAGTCAGTAATCATAAATACATCAGACTCAACAGAGACATTAGTCAGTAATTATAAATACATCAGACTCAACAGATACATTAGTCAGTAACCATAAATACATCAGACTCAGTAGAGACATTAGTCAGTAATTATAAATACATCAGACTCAACAGAGACATTAGTCAGTAATTATAAATACATCAGACTCAACAGATACATTAGTCAGTAATTATAAATACATCAGACTCAACAGAGACATTAGTCAGTAATTATAAATATATCAGACTCAACAGATACATTAGTCAGTAATTATAAATACATCAGACTCAACAGAGACATTAGTCAGTAATTATAAATACATCAGACTCAACAGAGACATTAGTCAGTAATCATAAATACATCAGACTCAACAGATACATTAGTCAGTAATTATAAATACATCAGACACAACAGATATATTAGTCAGTAATTATAAATACATCAGACTCAACAAGACATTAGTCAGTAATTATAAATACATCAGACACAACAGATACATTAGTCAGTAATTATAAATACATCTGACTCAACAGATACGTTAGTCAGTAATTATAAATACATCAGACTCAACAGAGACGTTAGTCAGTAATTATAAATACATCACACTCAACAGATACGTTAGTCAGTAATTATAAATACATCTGACTCAACAGATACGTTAGTCAGTAATTATAAATACATCAGACTCAACAGAGACAATAGTCAGTAATTATAAATACATCAGACTCAACGAGACATTAGTCAGTAATTATAAATACATCAGACTCAACGAGACATTAGTCAGTAATTATAAATACATCAGACTCAACAGAGACATTAGTCAGTAATCATAAATACATCTGACTCAACGAGACATTAGTCAGTAATTATAAATACATCTGACTCAACAGAGACAATAGTCAGTAATTATAAATACATCTGACTCAACGAGACATTAGTCAGTAATTATAAATACATCTGACTCAACAGATACGTTAGTCAGTAATTATAAATACATCAGACTCAACAGAGACAATAGTCAGTAATTATAAATACATCTGACTCAACGAGACATTAGTCAGTAATTATAAATACATCTGACTCAACAGATACATTAGTCAGTAATTATAAATACATCAGACTCAACAGATACATTAGTCAGTAATTATAAATACATCAGACTCAACAGAGACATTAATCAGTAATTATAAATACATCAGACTCAACAGACTGTTATTTTCAGTAGCCATTAATCTAACTATGGATATTGTGATTTTTTTTTCTCTTTCTACTAATTTTATTTAAAGATATGATAATAAATGTCCTACACCAATTCTTCATTTGATGTCACCATTGCATGTTCCCAGGATGGTAGTGTAACAAACTCCCCAAAGTGCACATCGGCAAATGCTGTTCAGAAACAGGTAAATGCACCATACAGGTACAGTAGAAACCACCAAATGGTATGTGGGTTAATATCACATTTCCTGTTAATATCACATTTCCAGTTAATATCACATTTTCTTTAAACACCCATTTTCCCCCTATATACTCTTTGTAATCCAACACCTGATCATGTCAATTACTTTCATGTGGGCGTCGCTTAATATCACTTCATTTTGACAACTATCACAAAAAACACAGGTAAGCCACAGGTAAGTGAGGTCAAGAGGTATAGATTCATGTCCCAAGGGTCAAGTCTGATATATATACATCATCTGTATTTTAGCTAACTTTTTACTCTCTCCTGGACAATAGATTGACCCACTTACCTGTAAGATCCAGTTAAGTCTAGGGAAGTCTGGTGCATTTGTTTTTGTAATTGGCTACCACCATGTAAGGTGACTAAGTTTTCTGACATGATGCTGAAACTTCTTGAAAATGAGTCTTTCGTATGCATACTGGTATGATTTCATAACACAAAAGATAATTTTTTGATCTGATGAGAAAATAAGCAAACATGAACATTAATTTACAATTACATTGTGTTTGTTTTGTTTCCTGATACAATGACCACCAAACAGTGGCATGTTTATGTCACCATTATGAATGTCACCTTCTTCAACTTTACGTTAACACATTTACTGTACAGAGCTTAACCCTTTCAGCGCCAAATATCTCTCACAATGTACAGCTCGGCGCCAAATATCTCTCACAATGTACAGCTCAGCGCCAAACATTATAAAAATATATATAATAAAGATATAAAAATTGTCAACCAAAGTCGCCTACGGCGGCCTGTCTGCATGTCGACTTTAGTCACCTATGGCGCTGAAAGGGTTAGGGTGCTAAAATCACTTGTTTTTTATCATCATGATTTTTAAACTTTATTGTAAGATAGGTCTCGCATTTCTTCCTGAGAAGGAAGATTTTTAAACTTTATTGTAAAAATAGGTCTCACATTTCTTCCGGAGAAGGAAGATTTTTAAACTTTATTGTAAAAATAAGTCTCACATTTCTTCCGGAGAAGGAAGATTTTTAAACTTTATTGTAAAAATAAGTCTCACATTTCTTCCGGAGAAGATTTTTAAACTTTATTGTAAAAATAGGTCTCACATTTCTTCCGGAGAAGATTTTTAAACTTTATTGTAAAAATAAGTCTCACATTTCTTCCGGAGAAGGAAGATTTTTAAACTTTATTGTAAAAATAAGTCTCACATTTCTTCCGGAGAAGATTTTTAAACTTTATTGTAAAAATAGGTCTCACATTTCTTCCTGAGAAGATTTTTAAACTTTATTGTAAAAATAAGTCTCACATTTCTTCCGGAGAAGATTTTTAAACTTTATTTAAAAATGAAGTCTCACATTTCTTCCGAAGATTTTTAAACTTTGTCGTAATCTTCATACAAAAATTGCATTTTTCAGCAGAACATTGGTTATTTCCCATTACTATAAGATGACAGTTTTGATGGTATGCAGGTATTGACACTGCCTTACTCTATTCAGTGTCACAATTTCTGTTTCATGACATTTGATATCTCTCCTTTAACCTTTATATTCAATATTGTTTATCTTGAGTGACAGTCAAGGCTGTTAGGCCTCTTGTATACAGCTGTGTTTGTACTGTTATCAGGTCACAACTTTATAACCCACAACTTTGTATACAGCTGTTTGTACTGTTATCAGGTCACAACTTTACAACCCACAACTTTGTATACAGCTGTGTTTGTACTGTTATCAGGTCGCAACTTTACAACCCACAACTTTGTATACAGCTGTGTTTGTACTGTTATCAGGTCACAACTTTATAACCCACAACTTTTTATACAGCTGTTTGTACTGTTATCAGGTCACAACTTTACAACCCACAACTTTTTATACAGCTGTGTTTGTACTGTTATCAGGTCACAACTTTACAACCCACAACTTTATATAGAGCTGACACATTTGTCTGTACTGATCGTTTCTAGTTTTGTTCACAACTTCACTTTAAAGAATGTTGTCTTTGGATTCTTTGTACAGCGTTATGATGTAATTGTAAATCTTTGAAGTGTAGGAATAAATAAAACTGATCGTTTCTAGTTTTGTTCACAAATTCACCTTAAAGAATGTTGTCTTTGGATTCTTTGTACAGCGTTATGATGTAATTGTAAGTGTAGGAATAAATAAAACGTTTGTTTCCTATTTAATCTCCTGCTTGTTGATATTGTAGGTATGTAGATGTGCGTTTTTATTGTGACCCTGAACACTAATCCTTCATTAGTATAGGTACATTTTCTGTGTCGCTGATATTTTCAGGATGGTTCGCTAGCCCAGACGCCTACAATAACAACCTACAAAGCATTGAGTCCTCCTCATCTTGATCGCCCTGTACCATTCCCAACAACAGCCCCTAGTCAGACGGGAAAGCAGACAGGTCAAATACAGCAGCAACGCACAGAACCAGCTTCACTTAAGAACATTAAAAGACTCAGTTCTAATGAGGACTATGTGTCATTGAGGTGAGGTTTCAGGGAGTTATAATCAGGGCCCTGCATGAAAGTATGGGCGCCCTATAGTAATCACAGTGTCTGTCTGCCTGTCTGTTTGTCCGTCCATGGTTTGTTGGTTCATCAGCACTTTTGTTTCTGTGTGATAACTTGAGTTTCCCTGAACTGATCAAGCTCAAACTTCATACAGTACAGTTGAAAGTGCTTGCATGGGATTGCTTTTCAGCATCAAAGGTCAAGGTCACTGTTACTATAAATAGAAAATCAGTTTCCATGTGAAAACTAGAGTTTTTTTTGGTCAATCTAAATTATAGTGATGATAGGTCCCAGTTATAGTGGTGATATGTCCCAGTCATAGTGATGATAGGTCCCAGTTATAGTGGTGATATGTCCCAGTCATAGTGATGATAGGTCCCAGTTATAGTGGTGATATGTCTCAGTTATAGTGGTGATAGGTCTCAGTTATAGTGATGATAGGTCTCAGTTATAGTGATGATATGTCCCAGTTATATTGGTGATAGGTCTCAGTTATAGTGGTGATAGGTCTCAGTTATAGTGGTGATAGGTCTCAGTTATAGTGATGATAGGTCCCAGTTGTAGTGGTGATATGTCTCAGTTATAGTGGTGATAGGTCTCAGTTATAGTGATGATAGGTCTCAGTTATAGTGATGATATGTCCCAGTTATATTGGTGATAGGTCTCAGTTATAGTGGTGATATGTCCCAGTCATAGTGATGATAGGTCCCAGTTATAGTGGTGATATGTCCCAGTCATAGTGATGATAGGTCCCAGTTATAGTGGTGATAGGTCTCAGTTATAGTGGTGATAGGTCTCAGTTATAGTGATGATAGGTCTCAGTTATAGTGATGATATGTCCCAGTTATATTGGTGATAGGTCTCAGTTATAGTGGTGATAGGTCTCAGTTATAGTGGTGATAGGTCTCAGTTATAGTGATGATAGGTCCCAGTTGTAGTGGTGATATGTCTCAGTTATAGTGGTGATAGGTCTCAGTTATAGTGATGATAGGTCTCAGTTATAGTGATGATATGTCCCAGTTATATTGGTGATAGGTCTCAGTTATAGTGGTGATAGGTCTCAGTTATAGTGGTGATAGGTCCCAGTTATATTGGTGATAGGTCTCAGTTATAGTGGTGATAGGTCTCAGTTATAGTGGTGATAGGTCTCAGTTATAGTGATGATAGGTCCCAGTTATAGTGGTGATATGTCCCAGTTATAGTGGTGATAGGTCTCAGTTATAGTGGTGATATGTCCCAGTTATAGTGATGATAGGTCTCAGTTATAGTGGTGATAGGTCCCAGTTATAGTGATGATAGGTCCCAGTTATAGTGGTGATAGGTCTCAGTTATAGTGGTGATAGGTCTCAGTTATAGTGATGATAGGTCTCAGTTATAGTGATGATAGGTCCCAGTTATAGTGGTGATAGGTCTCAGTTATAGTGGTGATAGGTCCCAGTTATAGTGATGATAGGTCCCAGTTATAGTGGTGATAGGTCTCAGTTATAGTGATGATAGGTCTCAGTTATAGTGATGATATGTCCCAGTTATATTGGTGATAGGTCTCAGTTATAGTGGTGATAGGTCTCAGTTATAGTGATGATAGGTCCCAGTTATAGTGGTGATAGGTCTCAGTTATAGTGATGATAGGTCCCAGTTATAGTGGTGATAGGTCCCAGTTATAGTGACAACAGATATTGGTTATAGTGGTGATAGGTCCCAGTTATAGTGGTGATAGGTCCCAGTTATAGTGGTGATAGGTCCCAGTTATAGTGGTGATAGGTCCCAGTTATAGTGACAAGAGTTTGGTTATAGTGGCCCCTTGACATGGTATTTCAGAAATGTGCTTTCTGATATCAGATTAGATACCTTCCATAGCTAAAGCACAGGTACTTCACAATAACAAGAATACCATCAGTCAAGAATTATTACATAAAAATTAAAGGTATGACTTGACCCAGTTATAGTTTGTGGTTGCTTGACCTAGTCATCGTTGTAGTTTGACCTAGATTTATTGATAATTTGACCCAGTTGTAGTGACAGATTTACCAAATTATACCTATCATGTAGGTAGTACAGTCCCTAAGTATTACACAGTGTGTCATCAGTATACGGTGTATATAAAGTAGGTAGTATACAGTGTATATAATGTAGGTAGTACACAGTGTATATAATGTAGGTAGTATACAGTGTATATAATGTAGGTAGTACACAGTGTATATAATGTAGGTAGTACACAGTGTATATAATGTAGGTAGTACACAGTGTATATAATGTAGGTAGTACACAGTGTATATAATGTAGGTAGTACACAGTGTATATAATGTAGGTAGTACACAGTGTATATAATGTAGGTAGTACACAGTGCATATAATGTAGGTAGTACACAGTGCATATAATGTAGGTAGTACACAGTGCATATAATGTAGGTAGTACACAGTGTATATAATGTATGTATTACATATAAATGTAGGTAGTACGCAGTGTATATAATATAGGTAGTACACAGTGTATATAATGTAGGTAGTACACAGTGTATATAATGTAGGTAGTAGGTAGTGTATATAATGTAGGTAGTCTACAGTGTATATAATGTAGGTAGTACACATTGTATATAATGTAGGTAGTACACAGTGTATATAATGTAGGTAGTACACAGTGTATATAATGTAGGTAGTACACAGTGTATATAATGTAGGTAGTACACAGTGTATATAATGTAGGTAGTACACAGTGTATATAATGTAGGTAGTACACAGTGTAGTACACAGTGTATATAATGTAGGTAGTACACAGTGTATATAATGTAGGTAGTACACAGTGTATATAATGTAGGTAGTACACAGTGTATATATTGTAGGTAGTACACAGTGTATATAATGTAGGTAGTACACATTGTATATAATGTAGGTAGTACACAGTGTATATAATGTAGGTAGTACACAGTGTATATAATGTAGGTAGTACACAGTGTATATAATGTAGGTAGTAAACAGTGTATATAATGTAGGTAGTAGGTAGTACACAGTATATAGTACACATGTATATAATGTAGGTAGTACAGTATATAATGTAGGTAGTACACAGTGTATATAATGTAGGTAGTACACAGTGTATATAATGTAGGTAGTACACAGTGTATATAATGTAGGTAGTACACAGTGTATATAATGTAGGTAGTACACAGTGTATATAATGTAGGTAGTATACAGTGTAGTGTATATGTAGGTATACACAGTACACAGTGTATATAATGTAGGTAGTACACAGTGTATATAATGTAGGTAGTACACAGTGTATATAATGTAGGTATTACACAGTGTAGTATACAGTGTATATAATGTAGGTAGTACACAGTGTATATAATGTAGGTAGTACACAGTGTATATAATGTAGGTAGTACACAGTGTATATAATGTAGGTAGTACACAGTGTATATAATGTAGGTAGTACACAGTGTATATAATGTAGGTAGTACACAGTGTATATAATGTAGGTAGTACACAGTGTATATAATGTAGGTAGTACACAGTGTATATAATGTAGGTAGTACACAGTGTATATAATGTAGGTAGTACACAGTGTAGTATACAGTGTATATAATGTAGGTAGTACACAGTGTATATAATGTAGGTAGTACACAGTGTATATAATGTAGGTAGTACACAGTGTATAGAATAAAGGTAGTGTATATAATGTAGGTAGTACACAGTGTATATAATGTAGGTAGTACACGGTGTATATAATGTAGGTAGTATACAGTGTATATAATGTAGGTAGTACACAGTGTATATAATGTAGGTAGTACACAGTGTATATAATGTAGGTAGTACACAGTGTATATAATGTAGGTAGTACACAGTGTATATAATGTAGGTAGTACACAGTGTATATAATGTAGGTAGTACACAGTGTATATAATGTAGGTAGTACACAGTGTATATAATGTAGGTAGTACACAGTGTATATAATGTAGGTAGTACACAGTGTATAGAATGTAGGTAGTGTATATAATGTAGTGTATATATGTAGTATACACAGTGTATATAATGTAGGTAGTACACAGTGTATATAATGTAGGTAGTACACAGTGTATATAATGTAGGTAGTACACAGTGTATATAATGTAGGTAGTACACAGTGTATATAATGTAGGTAGTACACAGTGTATAGAATGTAGGTAGTGTATATAATGTAGGTAGTATACAGTGTATATAATGTAGGTAGTACACAGTGTATATAATGTAGGTAGTACACAGTGTATATAATGTAGGTAGTACACAGTGTATATAATGTAGGTAGTATACAGTGTATATAATGTAGGTAGTACACAGTGTATATAATGTAGGTAGTACACAGTGTATATAATGTAGGTAGTACACAGTGTATATAATGTAGGTATATAATGTACACAGTGTATATAATGTAGGTAGTACACAGTGTATATAATGTAGGTAGTACACAGTGTATATAATGTAGGTAGTACACAGTGTATAGTATACAGTGTATATAATGTAGGTAGTACACAGTGTATATAATGTAGGTAGTACACATTGTATATAATGTAGGTAGTACACAGTGTATATAATGTAGGTAGTACACAGTGTATATAATGTAGGTAGTACACAGTGTATATAATGTAGGTAGTACACAGTATATAATGTATATACGCAGTGTATATAATATAGGTAGTACACAGTGTATATAATGTAGGTAGTACACAGTGTATATAATGTAGGTAGTACACAGTGTATATAATGTAGGTAGTACACAGTGTATATAATGTAGGTAGTACACAGTGTATATAATGTAGGTAGTACACAGTGTATATAATGTAGGAAGTACACAGTGTATATAATGTAGGTAGTACAGAATGTATATATTGTAGATATTACATCATTGCTTCTGTCTCACAATCCTGGTGTTATTTCTGTTCATAGTGATGTTAGTTTAGATAAGAAAGTGAAGCCGTTAGAGTTGAACAAGTCACATTCCGATGACCAGAGTCCTGTCTCTAGGACAGCGCTAAAGAAAGTGTGGACACCAACGTCTCCTGCAAAGAAAGATCCCTCATCTAATGGATTTATTGGACCTGATAACAGCAGTGATGTAAGTGAACGTTTCTGATCCTACAGTCAGTCACTCCTTCTGTACTTCTCCTCCCTATACCATACCTCTGATCTGTTGTCATCTTTCCTCTCAAACTTTACACAATGCTTACTTACAGAAAATGCTTGCCTGGGATGCTCTGACATTCTGTAGACAGAGTTTGGATTATACATTATAGACGACTAGAATATTTACTCCAATCTTGCCGATGGATTGCTTGCTTACAAATGTTTTCCATATTTTAAAGTCATAGGTTAAAGACCACTATTACTTTGAATGAAGAAATCCATTATTTCTGTGTAAAACTTGCCTGTATTCCAACATTGGTATATTACTTGGAAATAATTTGTTTTAATCTTATTATCTACTTGTAATTTTATCTGTTTTCAAGATCCCCATTTTTGTGTGTCAATGTTCACGTAGTGCACTCATCAAATTGTCTGTTCATCTGTATAGTTCACTGTTGTCGCTGGTGTGACTGTCCATCTGTATAGTTCACTGTTGTCACTGATGTGACTATTCACCTGTATAGTTCACTGTTGCCACTGGTGTGACTGTTCACCTGTATAGTTCACTGTTGCCACTGGTGTGACTGTTCACCTGCATAGTTCACTGCTGTCACTGGTGTGATTGTTCACTTGTACAGCTCACTGTTGTCACTGATGTGACTGTTCACCTGTATAGTTCACTGTTGCCACTGGTGTGACTGTTCACTTGTACAGCTCACTGTTGTCACTGGTGTGACTGTCAACCTGTACAGTTCACTGTTGTCACAGGTGTGATTGTTCACCTGTATAGTTCACTGTTGTCACAGGTGTGACTGTTCACCTGTATAGTTCACTGTTGTCACTGGTGTGACTGTTCACCTGTATAGTTCACTGTTGTCACTGGTGTGACTGTTCACCTGTACAGTTCACTGTTGTCACTGGTGTGACTGTTCACCTGTATAGTTCACTGTTGTCACTGGTGTGAATGTTCACCTGTACAGCTCACTGTTGTCACTGGTGTGACTGTCCATCTGTACAGTTCACTGTTGTCACTGGTGTGACTGTTCACCTGTATAGTTCACTGTTGTCACAGGTATGACTGTTCACCTGTATAGTTCACTGTTGTCACAGGTGTGACTGTTCACCTGTATAGTTCACTGTTGTCACTGGTGTGACTGTTCACCTGTATAGTTCACTGTTGTCACTGGTGTGACTGTTCACCTGTACAGTTCACTGTTGTCACTGGTGTGTATGTTCACCTGTATAGTTCACTGTTGTCACTGGTGTGACTGTTCACCTGTATAGTTCACTGTTGTCACTGGTGTGACTGTTCACCTGTATAGTTCACTTGTGAATGCTTATTTGTAAACTTTTCTTTGATCACTTCTAGTCACCCATATTCGTTAAACTGCCATGCTATGGTTAATTTACTTTTGAATATCTGTACAATTTTTGACTTTTTTTACAAATATTTGATATTTTGTCGTTGACTTTGCCAGGTTTTTTTTTTTTTTTTTGTTTTCTTATCTGTTATTTTAGATATCGAGCAATTCATCAAAACAAGACCAGACAGGACCAAACACTAATTCTTACCCTAATAAAAACAATTCTAATTGCCCTTCTTTCATTAAGTCTCTGAATAATAAGCCCTCCCCCCCTGTGGAGCTGTTGCTAGGATACTCGCCTCAACTGCCAGAGGAACAAAATCATGTAAGTCTTGTGATGCAGTGGTTTAGTGACTAACAATACGAAAACAATTCCAATTATAGCTCTCACAATGTATCACCCTGAGTTTTAACCAGACAAACTAGAGCTACTTTATAAATAATATATATAGATATATATATATATATTTAGAGGCTTTTCTCTTTAAGCTGAACAACTACTTATGTGCAGATTTTTAACTAATCTCTGTCTACATACAAAGATTGATCTGCACAAAGTCTTTAACTTGAACAACCAAATCCAATGCCAGGCAGAAGGCTTAAGACACATACTACACATGATCCCTATCTATTTCTTTTGGGATTGCCAATTTGACAATCAAAAGATGCCAAATTGCCAGCCAGAAGCTACAAGTATTAGACAGGACCACAAGTTGCCAATAGAATACCAACAAATTCCTAGTTCCAATTTAACACAGGGCTTAAACTATTACATCGTACTTTTAATAGATATTAATACTAGAAACACACCACTTCTGAAAGACCCTTTGAAATGATTTCAATCCACTTTTGATTCTAGCTAATACAATATTTATACCTCATTTATCAAGCAGCCACCCCAGACAGTGGGGCTGGATGGAACTGGGAGTATACATAGTAATGAAAATATATTGTAATGAATAAATATACATTCATTGTTGACTGATCAAACCCAGCAGATGAACACAAAGACTTACTAAATTTGCTAAGTACTGCAGTTAGGTTGATCACCAAAAACCAACATGATGTTGCCCCAACAACCAATGTAAACACAATGTTAATGGACCATTTATGCTATAATAAACTACCAAATGATAACATATTCTTACTACAAGAATAAATTACAATGTCCCAAATCCAGAAATCTGTGAAATATACTTCTGTAACTACATTAAGAGTCACTTTATTAAAAATAATGATCATTTGGTCAGTATAGCTTCAGAATTAGTTCTGAAACAGCCTTCACTTGCACCGGTGAAAGTTAACCCTCTCCATTACCATACTAACCTTGTACAAAATGAGAAGCATGATAACCCTCACTCCAATAGTAAATTGTCAACATTGATAAATTCTCACTCCAATAGTAAATTGTCAACATTGATAAATTCTTACTTCAATAGTAAATTGTCAACATTGATAAATTCTCAATCCAATAGTAAATTGTCAAACATTGATAAATTCTCACTCCAATAGTAAATTGTCAAACATTGATAAATTCTTACTCCAATAGTAAATTGTCAAACATTGATAAATTCTCACTGCAATAGTAAATTGTCAACATTGATAAATTCTCAATCCAATAGTAAATTGTCAAACATTGATAAGTTCTCACTCCAATAGTAAATTGTCAAACATTGATCAATTCTCACTCCAGTAATTGTCAACATTGATAAATTCTCACGCCAGTAATTGTCAACATTGATAAATTCTCACTCCATTAATTGTCAACATTAGTTAGGTCTCACGGTAATACCAAGTAAATTGTCAACATTTCACAAAGCTGTAGAGCAGTTCTGCATGACTTCTGCTTAATCATTGTTTTTTTTTCGCTAGTTATAGATCCAGATAATGAAACTTACTCTGTATCTTATAAGTGTTTAATGTTTTACCTGACATGACTGATTTATTGTCATATTGCAAAAGCAGTTTTCCTGTTAGCGTCTTAATTCCTACCAAGCTGGTGATTGTGTCAACCTGATTAAGTATACAGGTGTTAGATAACACATAATTTACGGTGACTATACAAAAATAACTCTACTGTGTTGTCTTTGTCTCATTTAATTTCCTCTTGATAATTGTAATTCCCTTTAGTACACTAGGGACTTAACATTGGGCTTATGTTCAATCAACCATGGTTTGTTGTCATCCATCTATGCATTTATCAGTCCTTCAGTTTCATTGGCCCACCAGCCTGCCATTCCTTCAGTCTCATTGGCCCACCAGCCTGCCATTCCTTCAGTCTCATTGGCCCACCAGCCTGCCATTCCATCAGTCGCATTGGCCCACCTGCCTGCCATTCCATCAGTCTAATTGGCCCACCAGCCTGCCATTCCTTCAGTCTCATTGGCCCACCAGCCTGCCATTCCTTCAGTCTCATTGGCCCACCAGCCTGCCATTCCTTCAGTCTCATTGGCCCACCAGCCTGCCATTCCATCAGTCGCATTGGCCCACCTGCCTGCCATTCCATCAGTCTAATTGGCCCACCAGCTTGCGATTCCATCAGTTGCATTGGCCCACCAGCCTGCCATTCCATCAGTCTAATTGGCCCTCCAGTTTGTCAGTCCTTCTGTCTAATTGGCCTATCAGTCTGCCAGTCTATCAGTCTATCTGTTGACCTACCAGTCTGTCAACCCTTCAGTCTAAATGGCCCACTAGTTTCCAGTCTATCAGTCTGGCCTAAAATGAACCAAAACAGTGAAGTTTAGGTATCTACCCCACAGGGACCTAAGGGGCGGGACCAAATAGTCAAATTAACACTAATTTAAAAAATCTTCTTCTCATTACTCAGATATGGTAGAATAAAATGTTCTTTATGAATGGAAGCACCTTAAGGTGCTTGATCAAAATTGTGAATTTCATGGCCCCAGGGTCTAACATTTTCCTGTGGTGAGGGGGTCAACTTTACTATAGTTTATATTGGAAAAATAGATTTTTGAGCATAATTTGTTTAATTTCAATTGGAAATACTTTAAATTTGGATATAATTATGAGAGAAGGCTGACAGCTTGATGGTAAGCTCATATTGATCCTGGCTTACCTCCAGGGGATGATGGGCAGGGCAAAAAGGAGTCAAATTGGCTTTCATTTTAAATATCTTCTTCTCAACACCCAGATACGGTAGAATCAAATGCTGCATGGTTTTGCAGCATCTTTGGTGCTTTATTTACCTAAGTGGGTCTCACATTTCTTTCTTTCTGAGGAGGTCAACGTAACTTTAATTTTTATAGAAAAATTGCATTTCTGAGCATTACATTTTTTATTTCCTACTGGGAAGTAAGAATCATTATTATAGGATGACAATTTTGATGGTATGCATGTATTGACACTGGCTAACTATCATCAATGTCACAATTTCTTTTTTCGTGACACTTTAAAGCAACCCTTTCACTTTCCTCACTATAACAGAATCGTCCAGAGTTCTTATATTGGGCCTGTGCCATGCTGGAATGAAGGGCTACCAAGTTTGTTAAAATTAATGACCTTGACTCACTTTCAAGGCAACAGGGGTCAAATGTGTTAAAATCTTAAATAACTCCTACTCAATTGCTAAAAGGCCTGGAGTGCTGACATTGGGCCTGTATCATGGGTGGCTGAACGGCTACCAAAGGTCACAAGAATCAAATGTGTTGAAATCTTTACAAATGCCTTTTTTCATTAACCAATGTCTTTACAAAATAATACAGTGAGTAAATACAGGCTGATGCTCCGGAATCTGATTGGCTGAGGCATATCTTATGGAATTCATATGTCAGTGAATGCAGTGAAAGATAATGACATAGTAATTTTAAATTATCTGAGTATATAATAAATTGATACTATTCCTTCATTGTCACTGGATTTGGTGACAAAGTCCCATTAGTACAGTAGATAGCTGACTATATAGACAGAATTAGGGAGCCTGCTACTAGTAGAAAATGGTCAGGTTTACCTTGTAGCAGACCATAGTTTATATTTAACATTTTAGTATATTTATTTTGAGGTAATTTTCTATAAATGAGTTTTGATTTAGATACCTATATATACTGTAGGTATTAGTTTTTCTGTACTGTTATCTTCCCCTTTTTGTATCAAGTGAAATGGAAAACGAAGGTTCCACTTAATAGCAGATCTGACTTATCTTCCTGGAAATTGGTTGCCAACTATTTTTTATAAGTTGAGATTTGAACTTTTTTCAGTTGGCATTCATGTACATGTGAATGCCAACAGGATAAGGACAAATCCATGAAGCATGTTGGCATTTGATGTACCTGGTATCTGTAAATTTTTTGGCATTTAAAATGCCCAGGAATCTCAGCTCAAATTTGTTCAATGGTTTTGTTTATCATTTTCATAAAGGGAGATAATCTCTTTGTTTACATTTCTGTTTACACACAACTGACTTTGGTGATGTTATACACCAGGCCCCACTTGTATAAAACATCTCAACTTGAGATTTCCTCAAGTCGAGATTTTCCTCAGCTGATATATCCTCAAAAACGGCTTGTATAAAATTTTCTCAAGGAACAGGAGGAAGGCATCGGCTAGGATGTCCTGAAATTCCTTGAGGAATTTTCATACAAGATATTTTCAAGGAGATATTAGCTGACGAAAATTTCGACTTGAGGAAATCTCAAGTTGAGATGTTTTATGCAAGTGGGGCCAGATAAGAAAGACACTATAGTAAGTGATATGGCTATGGTGATAGATAGGAGCCAAAGTTTTCCATTTGACTTGTCCACTGTTATCTGTAACCTATTAGTTTTGCTTTGCTCTGTTCTACATGTACTCAGTTCTTGCTTGTGTATATACCTGTGGCATGGTGATCTTATTCTTGTAGAAAGTACACATCAAGAAGGTATGGGCTTCCTCTCCCAGCCCTAACACTTTACCCACAATGCACCTGTGGCAGGAAGTGTCATTGAATGAATCTGAGGTAGGTTTTAAGTAGTTACGATAGTGTGGCGTTTATAGTATGTGTCAAAACGGTAATTAATGCTTGTTATTGTTTTTTTCCTACAGGTTTTGCATTTAATTTTTTGCCTTGTTAGAAGATAGTTATAAATAGATACAAATTTGTTATTGATACATTGTGTTTACCTAAGAAATCCTTGATGTACATTAAGTTAAGTGTAAGATGAAAACTGGTGTGTATAGGATCTAACATACAATGTCATTTTACAGAAGACAAATGTCAATTTGCCAATTCTGGCATTCATATTTTACAATGCATCAATACCAAAATATATCATCACTTCTGTGGTGCTTGCATGTTGTTATCAGAATGAGACACGAATTTTGAGTATCTGTATTCCGTATAAGCAGGACTGATTAGATATAATTACACATTATTCAGATGCTTACCAAGATTGTCTTATATCCTTTGTTTACTAAAGATTGAAAGTGATTAGATTTATTTATAACATTATCTAAATTTTGTCACACGTTTCATATTTACCTGACTACAAAATTCTTAACTTTTATATAAAATAGTTATACACATGTCTGTGTGTGTGTGTTTGTTGTTGTGAAGTGAAAAATGTCTGTGTGTGTGTTTTGGTTGGCTGATAGAAGGTTAGTGTGTGTCTGTGTGTGTTTTGTGGTTGTTGGGTGTGTGTGTTTATGGTTGTTAGAAGTGTCTGTGTGTGTTTTGGTTGTTGGGTTTAGAAGGTTAGAAGTGTCTGTGTGTGTGTTGGTTGTTGGGTGTAGAAGGTTAGAAGTGTCTGTGTGTGTGTTGGTTGTTGGGTGTAGAAGGTTAGAAGTGTCTGTGTGTGTTTTGGTTGTTGGGTTTAGAAGGTTAGAAGTGTCTGTGTGTGTGTTTTGGTTGTTGGGTGTAGAAGGTTAGAAGTGTCTGTGTGTGTTTTGGTTGTTGGGTGTAGAAGGTTAGAAGTGTCTGTGTGTGTTTTGGTTTTTGGGTGTAGAAGGTTAGAAGTGTCTGTGTGTGTTTTGGTTGTTGGGTGTAGAAGGTTAGAAGTGTCTGTGTGTTTTGGTTGTTGGGTGTAGAAGGTTAGAAGTGTCTCTGTGTGTGTTAGTTGTTGGGTTGAAAAGGTTAGAAGTGTCTGTGTGTGGTTTGATTGTTGGGTTTAGAAGATTAGAAGTGTCTGTGTGTGTTTTGGTTGTTGGGTGTAGAAGGTTAGAAGTGTCTGTGTGTGTGTTGGTTGTTGGGTGTAGAAGGTTAGAAGTGTCTGTGTGTGTGTTTTGGTTGTTGTGTTTAGAAGGTTAGAAGTGTCTGTGTGTGTTTTGGTTGTTGGGTGTAGAAGGTTAGAAGTGTCTGTGTGTGTTTTGGTTGTTGGGTGTAGAAGGTTAGAAGTGTCTGTGTGGTTTTGGTTGTTGGGTGTAGAAGGTTAGGTTCTGTGTGTGTGTTGGTTGTTGGGTGTAGAAGGTTAGAAGTGTCTGTGTGTGTTTTGGTTGTTGGGTGTAGAAGGTTAGAAGTGTCTGTGTGTGTTTTGGTTGTTGGGTGTAGAAGGTTAGAAGTGTCTGTGTGTGTTGGTTGTTGGGTGTAGAAGGTTAGAAGTGTCTGTGTGTGTGTTGTGTGTGTTGGTTGTTGGGTGTGTGTTTTGGTTGTTGTGTTAGAAGGTTAGAAGTGTCTGTGTGTGTTTTGGTGTGTTGGGTTGTAGAAGGTTAGAAGTGTCTGTGTGTGTGTTTTGGTTGTTGGGTGTAGAAGGTTAGAAGTGTCTGTGTGTGTTTTGGTTGTTGTGTTTAGAAGGTTAGAAGTGCCTGTGTGTTTTGGTTGTTGGGTGTAGAAGGTTAGAAGTGTCTGTGTATGTTTTGGTTGTTGGGTGTAGAAGGTTAGAAGTGTCTGTGTGTGTGTTTTGGTTGTTGTGTTTAGAAGGTTAGAAGTGTCTGTGTATGTTTTGGTTGTTGGGTGTAGAAGGTTAGAAGTGTCTGTGTGTTTTGGTTGTTGGGTGTAGAAGGTTAGAAGTGTCTGTGTGTGTTAGTTGTTGGGTTGAGAAGCTTTGAAGTGTCTGTGTGTTTTGGTTGTTGGGTGTAGAAGGTTAGAAGTGTCTGTGTGTGTTTTGGTTGTTGGGTGTGTGTTTTGGTTGTTGGGTGTAGAAGGTTAGAAGTGTCTGTGTGTGTTTTGGTTGTTGGGTGTAGAAGGTTAGAAGTGTCTGTGTGTGTTTTGGTTGTTGTGTTTAGAAGGTTAGAAGTGCCTGTGTGTTTTGGTTGTTGGGTGTAGAAGGTTAGAAGTGTCTGTGTGTGTTTTGGTTGTTGGGTTGAGAAGGTTAGAAGTGTCTGTGTGTGTTTTGGTTGTTGGGTGTAGAAGGTTAGAAGTGTCTGTGTGTGGTTTGGTTGATGTGTGTAGAAGGTTAGAAGTGTCTGTGTGTTTTGGTTGTTGGGTGTAGAAGGTTAGAAGTGTCTGTGTGTGTTTTGGTTGTTGGGTTTAGAAGGTTTGAAATGTCTGTGTGTGTGTTTTGGTTGTTGGGTGTAGAAGGTTAGAAGTGTCTGTGTGAGTTTTGGTTGTTGGGTGTAGAAGGTTAGAAGTGTCTGTGTGTGTTGTTGTTTAGAAGGTTAGGTTGTGTGTGTTTGGTTGTTGTAGAAGGTTAGAAGTGTCTGTGTGTGTTTTGGTTGTTGGGTGTAGAAGGTTAGAAGTGTCTGTGTGTTTTGGTTGTTGGGTGTAGAAGGTTAGAAGTGTCTGTGTGTGTTTTGGTTGTTGGGTTGAGAAGGTTATAAGTGTCTGTGTGTGTGGTTTGGTTGTTGGGTTTAGAAGGTTAGAAGTGTCTGTGTGTGTGTTGTTGGGTGTAGAAGGTTAGAAGTGTCTGTGTGTGTTTTGGTTGTTGGGTTGAGAAGGTTAGAAGTGTCTGTGTGTGTGTTGGTTGTTGGGTGTAGAAGGTTAGAAGTGTCTGTGTGTGTTTTGGTTGTTGGGTGTAGAAGGTTAGAAGTGTCTGTGTGTGTTTTGGTTAGAAGTGTCTGTGTGTGTGTTTGGTTGTTGGGTGTAGAAGGTTAGAAGTGTCTGTGTGTGTTTTGGTTTGGTTGGTGTGTGTTTTGTAGAAGGTTAGAAGTGTCTGTGTGTGTTTGGTTGTTGGGTGTAGAAGGTTAGAAGTGTCTGTGTATGTTTTGGTTGTTGTGTTTAGAAGGTTAGAAGTGTCTGTGTGTGTTTTGGTTGTTGGGTGTAGAAGGTTAGAAGTGTCTGTGTGTGTTTTGGTTGTTGGGTGTAGAAGGTTAGAAGTGTCTGTGTGTGTTTTGGTTGTTGGGTTTAGAAGGTTAGATGTGTCTGTGTGTGTTTTGGTTGTTGGGTGTAGAAGGTTAGAAGTGTCTGTGTGTGTGTGTGTTTTGGTTGTTGGGTGTAGAAGGTTAGAAGTGTCTGTGTGTGTTTTGGTTGTTGGGTGTAGAAGGTTAGAAGTGTCTGTGTGTGTTTTGGTTGTTGGGTGTAGAAGGTTAGAAGTGTCTGTGTGTGTTTTGGTTGTTGGGTTGAGAAGGTTAGAAGTGTCTGTGTGTGTTTTGGTTGTTGTGTTTAGAAGGTTAGAAGTGTCTGTGTGTGTTTTGGTTGTTGGGTTTAGAAGGTTAGAAGTGTCTGTGTGTGTGTTTGGTTGTTGGGTTGAAGGTTAGGTGTCTGTGTGTGTGTTTGGTTGTTGGGTTTAGTTAGAAGTGTCAGTGTGTGTTTTGGTTGTTGGGTGAAGAAGGTTAGAAGTGTCTGTGTGTTTTGGTTGTTGTGTGTAGAAGGTTAGAAGTGTCTGTGTGTGTTTTGGTTGTTGGGTTTAGAAGGTTAGAAGTGTCTGTGTGTGTTTTGGTTGTTGGGTGTAGAAGGTTAGAAGTGTCTGTGTGTGTTTTGGTTGTTGGGTTGAAGAAGGTTGTGTGTTTTGTGTCTGTGTGTGTGTGTGTGTTGGTTGTTGGGTGTAGAAGGTTAGAAGTGTCTGTGTGTGTGTTTTGGTTGTTGTGTTGAGAAGGTTAGAAGTGTCTGTGTGTGTTTTGGTTGTTGGGTTGAGAAGGTTAGAAGTGTCTGTGTGTGTGTTGGTTGTTGGGTGTAGAAGGTTAGAAGTGTCTGTGTGTGTTTTGGTTGTTGGGTTGAGAAGGTTAGAAGTGTCTGTGTGTGTTGGTTGTTGGGTTGAGAAGGTTAGAAGTGTCTGTGTGTGTTTTGGTTGTTGGGTTGAGAAGGTTAGAAGTGTCTGTGTGTGTTTTGGTTGTTGGGTTGAGAAGGTTATAAGTGTCTGTGTGTGTGGTTTGGTTGTTGGGTTTAGAAGGTTAGAAGTGTCTGTGTGTGTGGTTTGGTTGTTGTGTTTAGAAGGTTAGAAGTGTCTGTGTGTGTGTTTTGGTTGTTGGGTGTAGAAGGTTAGAAGTGTCTGTGTGTGTTTTGGTTGTTGTGTTTAGAAGGTTAGAAGTGCCTGTGTGTGTTTTGGTTGTTGGGTGTAGAAGGTTAGAAGTGTCTGTGTGTGTTTTGGTTGTTGGGTTTAGAAGGTTAGAAGTGTCTGTGTGTGTTTTGGTTGTTGGGTTTAGAAGGTTAGAAGTGTCTGTGTGTGTTTTGGTTGTTGGGTTTAGAAGGTTAGAAGTGTCTGTGTGTGTTTTGGTTGTTGTGTTTAGAAGGTTAGAAGTGTCTGTGTGTGTGTTGGTTGTTGGGTGTAGAAGGTTAGAAGTGTCTGTGTGTGTGTTTTGGTTGTTGTGTTTAGAAGGTTAGAAGTGTCTGTGTGTGTGTTGGTTGTTGGGTGTAGAAGGTTAGAAGTGTCTGTGTGTGTGTTTTGGTTGTTGTGTTTAGAAGGTTAGAAGTGTCTGTGTATGTTTTGGTTGTTGGGTGTAGAAGGTTAGAAGTGTCTGTGTGTTTTGGTTGTTGGGTGTAGAAGGTTAGAAGTGTCTGTGTGTGTTTTGGTTGTTGGGTTGAGAAGCTTTGAAGTGTCTGTGTGTGTTAGTTGTTGGGTTGAAAAGGTTAGAAGTGTCTGTGTGGTTTGATTGTTGGGTTTAGAAGATTAGAAGTGTCAGTGTGTGTTTTGGTTGTTGGGTTGAGAAGGTTATAAGTGTCTGTGTGTGTGGTTTGGTTGTTGGGTTTAGAAGGTTAGAAGTGTCTGTGTGTGTTTTGGTTGTTGGGTTGAGAAGGTTAGAAGTGTCTGTGTGTGTTTTGGTTGTTGTGTTTAGAAGGTTAGAAGATGTGTGTTTTGGTTTCATGAGGAATAATAGAATTTGATGGTATAGAATTATTTGATGGTAGAATCAGGGATTTCATGAGGAATAATAGAATTATTTGATGGTAGAATCAGGGATTTCATGAGGAATAATAGAATTATTTGATGGTAGAATCAGGGATTTCATGAGGAATAATAGAATTATTTGATGGTAGAATCAGGGATTTCATGAGGAATAATAGAATTATTTGATGGTAGAATCAGGGATTTCATGAATTATTTGATGGTAGAATCAGGGATTTCATGAATAATAGAATTATTTGATGGTAGAATCAGGGATTTCATGAGGAATAATAGAATTA